TGGTGGAAGGGTTTTTCCTTGAGGGGTTTTGCCCGGACGCCGGGTTTCCCCTCCATATGTTACCATGTTGGTATTTTCTGATGTATCCTGGGGCGTTCTTGCCCAATTGATGGTTAGTCACTTGCGTGAAGAACCAGGGAGGGTGTTCGTGAGTCTGCGAACATTGCTGTTGGATACATGTGCTGGATGATTTTGTGTCACGCAGACTGGTAAGATAACCGTTTGATAGGGGGCACTGCGATGATTCACGGAGCCCCTCCTTGCTGTGGGAGCCGCTCTTTGAGCACTCCCTCTTTCGTCCGTGTGAAGGATGGTCGTCTACCTCCCGTGAAGTTAATACATCACCAAAACAGTCTCACCCGATAAATAAGTGGCGTAGGCCGCAAACAGTCTTGGCCTGTTCGCCGCCCCAGGTGCTGCCCGCTGCTGTGCGCTGTGCGTGCATCCACTACAAGTGCTTGTATGTCCATCGGGGCCTTGTAGAGCGAGATCCAGCTGATGGGGTCAAAAACGTTATCTACCCCCGCCAGTGGGGTAGCGGCGGTATGTTGCCCGTTTCCCACCAACCGCCGTGGCACCACCAAAAATGTGCCTTCGGGCAACGATGGGTCCAATGATACAGCGTGGCAACACATTCGTTGAAGTCCTGTGCTGATCGGAGTCTTGTAGAGCGAGATCCAGCTGATGGGGTCAAAAACGTTATCTACCCCCGCCAGTGGGGTAGCGGCGGTATGTTGCCCGTTTCCCACCAACCGCCGTGGCACCACCAAAAATGTGCCTTCGGGCAACGATGGGTCCAATGATACAGCGTGGCAACACATTCGTTGAAGTCCTGTGCTGATCGGAGTCTTGTAGAGCGAGATACAGGTGGTGGGGTGTTTAGCCGTGCCGTTTTTTAACTCAAGCTGTTTCGTAACGTTCGCCCCGTGCTCCATTCTGCTTAATAAACTGAACTAACTGCTGTTAGTTTTAGGAACGCCGCAGTCTCTTGTGCGAGCTCTGTGCCCACCGAACCGCCCGAAAGCGAGCTTCTGCTAGAACACGCTCGGGCGACTTCGATGATCATGTCGCAGCCAATACCAAAGCACCAGTGTCTCTCATGATGCGATCCGATGAGGAACGAACCCGCTCTATGTCATATTGTGTGTTGTGTTTTCGTCCTATTTATTATGGCGACAGTCCCCCCAATTTTCGTGGTGAGACGTGTAGTCTACTACACTTTTCAGCGTACGTGGAGTACTAGACTTTTCAGTGTATTTTTTCGTACAACTACAACCATCCAGGGTCGCACAGGAGGGAGTAAACACCAGGACTTTTTTCTTCGTTTTATTTATTTTCATGCCCCACCTTCCTCCTGCGGTGCGTGCTGAAGTTTATTTTTGTCGCGAGAAGGCTCCAGCCATCCCTTTCCCTCGTCAACGGTGCTAACGTCGAAGTTTGGTACTCACGAGAGCTTTTTAGCTATGTTTCGCTTTCACCCGCACATTTCGTACATTTTCACCCTATGGGGATTCGAACTCACGACCTCTGCGACTAGCGGATTACGAGGATATCACTAGACCACCGGGGCGACCGGTGTACTGCTGACTGTTGGTCAGGCTGCCTGCATCAAATATCGACTGGACACCCAAGTAGACTATAGACAATAACGGTTGATGCAAAAATCATCCTCCGTGAGGGTCACAGCCGGCGCTGCTGGTCTAGTTGGCTATGATTCTATCTTAGGGTGGTAGAGGTCGGGAGTTCGAATCTCCCGTAGCGTCGATCTTTTTGAATAGTTCAACCAGTTGGTGCCCTCTCAACCTCCCACGCAACCTTCTGCGGTGGTGGTTACCGCATATGACACAAGATAACATACCCCCTGGACCGATTTTCAAATCTCGGTTTCTCAACAACAGGAAAAGTCATGGCGCCGGAGACGGTGGCGTTAGAACCGTCTCGTCGAGAGCTTTCCAAAAATGTATCGTTTCGTTTATGCTTCATCTTCGTCGTGGAGTAATCGAGCTTTGAAAATTGGTCCGGCGGGTGTGTTATCTTGTGTCATATACGGTAGGTCAAGGGTCCGAATCCCGGTGTAAACGAGGTATTCTTTCTTTCGAAGTGAGTTTTTCTCTCGCTTCCGCTCCCGGGCCTAGTGGATAGCGCTAGTTTGTGTGTAGAGAAAGGGGAGAGCGTGCTGAAGTCTTCTCCTTTTAAAAATCGGAGGCAACGTACCGCAGGAGGGGAGGGTAGAGCTGGGCCCTTCTGTGTCACCACGGGTTAGAGTAAACGGCAGCTGTGAGCGCCGATTTAAGTGAAGACCAAAAAAAAAAATGGCGGTCGGTGTGGAATGGAAAACGCCGCGGGAGGCTTGGCCGTGGAGGGAACACTGCTATACTGTGCTGCCTCCCGAACGGGGCTCTGAGTTGCGCAGAACACCCGCGCGTGTGTCCAGTCAGGCAAAGCCTGCTTAAGTAGTTGAGGGAAGCCAGGTCTGGAAGCGGGAGGGTGCGTGCCTGGATCCTGTAGCGATACGGTATCTGCAAACATATGTAGTCTAGTCTAGACCAGACTAGATACGTTGCGAAGATAAACCCCTTGTAAAGGCTGACATCGCCCCATGAAGACGATGAAGCACACGCCGCGTGATTGGCGCGCTGGTTGTCTTGGTTTCTTCTTCCTTGATGTGGTGTTGCCACCCCATGAAAGCTCTGATGGTATGCATATGTATCGTATATGGTCTCGTCTACCGCTTCTGCAATCTGCAAATAACTACAACTGGCAACTGGTTGCCGGGGGATTGCCGGGGGAACACAGACATGGAACACAATCCTGTCGTTTCTTGCTGGTCTGTGTCCCCGTGCGTCCACGTCCCTTGCTGCACAACCTACCTTTCTTCACATTCAGCAACTGGGCACTATTTTCACTGCTGCGCTCGTGCCCCTCTCACTCCAGTACGCGCGCTTGTGCACTCTCAGCCAGCAAGGTGGATAGCTTGTGCTCGGCGCCGTGAGATTGTAGTTGCACGGACTGTTAGGAGCGCCAAATACTACTGACTGCCGTGGTGCACTGATTGTCGGTAGAACTCCAGCAGACTCTCGCCGAACGAGACAGTACTACTGCTGTAGGGCGTCTGTAGGGATGCGAGGTCAATGGTCTAACGACTACGGCATGCACGACTATGAGTACACCCCCCTTCCCCAACGACCCCGATTTTCGATTTGTAGGCCTACCTCGGCCTACGTGCCTTGGATTTTTTTTCACATCGACTATTCCCTTGCACAAACAGCATTTTTGACAGCCACCACACTTGCTTCGAAGTAACGGAGTATTCCTACGTTCTATTGCGAATCTCGACAGACACTGGGAGAATATGCTCTGTATGAGGGGACTTCCACATATTCTGAAATTGTGGAACTTCTAGGTGACGTAGTGGACGTGGTACTGTACCCACCCGTGTTAGCACGCACAGGAGATTGTGAAGAAGTGAATTGACTTACCGCCGCCAGCCGGTCAAGGTTCCGGAACCCTATCCCAGTCTAGAAAACTCTAGTTTCCCGGTTTCATTGTACAAGCAGAGTAGCGTCGAGGATAGGGGGGGGCGGATAACGTGACGATGTTCATTGAAAACGATGCCTTCCCCAACGTCTATCGAGGGCGATTCCCTGATTTCATCCATGATCTCAATCAGTAACGGCCTCTTGTTCCTCGACGTGATGAAATGCATGTTCGTTATCGCAAGATAGATGACTACTTGTGGTACACGAAAAAATTGCTCGTGCTACTGATAGCGTTTCAAGTGGGAGCTCCTTGACGGCCTCGCCCACCCCTTTCTCGCCAACGGGGCCGTTCCTCAAGACGAACTGTCTGATGACACAAGTGAGATCGACCAGAAACCAGTCTTCGAGATGAAGTTTCTCCTGGTGACCGTGTGAATTCACTGCCGATGAGTGAAAGGCATCCCCGTGTCGACAAGGTCAAAAATCGCTGTCGTTGAACAAGAACAGATCCGTCTCAAACTTTCCGGACACCATGTCAACAATCATTCCACGGCGGAAGTGGTTCCAAGGGCAGCTCTGCAAGACGAGCGGCTCCGCAATCCGCCAAAAGGTTTAGCATCGACTTGTTCGTCAACGCCACGCGAAGTCGATGCACGAGGTACAACAGAGTTATTGCAAGAACTCGTTGTTACTCTCATTGATCTTTCCCTTTCCCTATCCCATACGTTCTTTCCTCCTCGAAGATGACGCTTCCACACAAACGACATACAACACGGTCCAGAACAGAAAAACACCCTTTCGTTTGTAATGACTTTGTTACGGGCTTCCTCGGGGCGAATCACGCCCGGTTTGATGGCGCAGTGTTTGGCTTTGTCCCGTCAAAATACCATGATGGTTTTCCCTCCGCTTGACTCCTGAGGAACTTCGGCTGTGGTCACGATGTCCACCAGGTGTATCTGCGCACAAACGTAGCAATTCCATGGGTAACTTTATTCGTGTAATTTTTCGCAAGACACCCCTCCTTGCCTTCGTGCCGTTCAGGAAGCATACTGTTTGTGTTCGTCTGTACTACCCCAATTCTTGTCCCCGGGACCAGAGCAGTCATATACTGGCGTTCACGTTTGTGTGTGTTCAAATGAAGTAACACAAACAAACACGCGTGACGTGTGCAGTCGGTCTACGTCCACGTGCACGTACGATGTAACGTACAAATCACAACGCCCTGCCTGTCCGTTTGCTAGCCCCACGGCCAGCTGTTGCCCATGTGGCTCGAACGCGAGAGATATCGCCCCCGCCGAAAGTCCCAGGAGATTGCCGATCAACCGCCGGCTGTCCAAGAAATCAAACGCCTGTTGTTGTCGATATCGCAGGTCGGCGATGGCTTGAGATTGCAATGCAACAGGCGAAGCGACGGCACAATGCACTTCTGGAAATTTGAACCCCAGGGGGAAACTGGCTTGCCCAACACTTAAAATACTAACAACATATTGGTGAAATTGAGAGCGAAGCATGAAATTGAGAGCGAGAGCCAAAAAAATTAAATTCGGGTCCAGACGCCTCCTGCCATTTATTGAGCAGTAGGGGGCGCGCTCTTCCAAGAAGCGGCGCAAATTGGTCTCATCAGCAGTGTCACGAGGATATGCGTGTCATCGTCATCGAATGCTGCAGCTAGGAGCTTGACAAGTTCCCGGATTTACCCAAATTGGCAATTCCTGCCTCAAACTGTTCCAGGGCGGCTTGGCCTCGGGCGGTGGGCTCTGCTGTAGCTTCTGCTCGCCGCTGTAACTCCACATCGAGAGACTCCCACAGCATGACCAGGGTATCTGCTTGTAGCTACGGGCTGGCCCTTCAATTCAAGCTATACAGCAAGCTCCACCTCTCAGCAGTAGTCCAGCTGCAGCGCATCGCGCAATCTCGCTCTCAATCAGATGCTTCGCTCTCAATTTCACCAATATGCTGTAATACGTATTTGGACTGCGGAATGTTTTAGAAATATTTTTTAGGCAGAAGCCTCCGCAGGGTTTTTCGGTCCCAGTAGCCTTCACAGGACTTTTCGACAATGTAAGCACGTTGGATAAAGCATGAAATCAGGGAACTTGGGTTGCGGAGAGGGTAAGGGGTAAGATCTGCGTACCCCCGCCCTTTGCTATTTCCTCATGAACATTGTTTGTCGCGAACACGGTCCTCCTTAGGTTGGTTGGGAAGCGTGACGTGATCAAAGCCTCCTCCAAAATGAGAACTAACTTTTGTTGTGCTGCTCGGATGATGATTTAGGCTGGAGCAGGAAACTACGTAACGCTGTAAGAGGCAGGCTTCGCGTGAACGCGCTCATTCACAAAATCGTGTACGCACGCTAGAGAAGAAGGATTCGTACGAAGTTTGTCGAGTACGCATGCAGTAGAGAAGCGGCCGGTTACCCAAGTTGCTTGCACGGATTGGTTTCGAGTTGAAGGCAAGTGAGCAACTTATCGTGCCTTCTTCGATGCAGAAATCGTTTGACTTCGGAGTGCTTTGCCCTCGATGAGTGCTCGCAATGCACAATATATTGGCTTCCGAAAAACACCCTGACACGTTGGATTCGCAACGGCACAAGAGTAGCAACGCTCTTTCACCTACAAGTGTGGCTCGACTCTGGCGGATTCCATGGAGCCAACTCACGCCGTGTTTACTGACCAAGGTTGAAAGGTTGAACGGAAACGCAAATATATATGTGCTACGCTCGACGTTGTTTACGTCGTTGACGTACAAGTGCGAGCAAAGGTCAGCGCTCGATTGCTCGACAACCAAGGGGCTGTCGTTGCCGAAAAGGTGGTTTTGGAAGGATGGCGTCGAGAGAGGGTTTTCCGCGCACGTGCGTCGGTCGGATTCCGCCCCATTTTTTCCGTTGTGAAGCAATCGATCTTTAATATCTATCTTGCATCTGTGTGTATTTGCCCGCACTTTCACTGCAGTACCCGTGTTCGATGTGTGGTACTTACTGCAAGATCAACTTGAACACAAATCAAGGCTGGTCTACGTGCTCTAACCTTCACTTCGTTCGCCCCCTCGCCCCCGCCGGCCGCAACGAACTTTCCTCGCGCATCCTCAGGCCCTCCGAAAGCCGCCGCGTACAACCGGCATCTTTTTGTACAAGCGCCAGATGAGACCCAAGAAAGCGATGTGTGGTATTGTACCGGGACCAGACGTGAGCAATGTGTTCTCACGAATGTCTGATTTGAGTGAACATGTGTTTTGGTTGTTGCATGTGTGGGCACAACGTCGAAATAGCTTGTGGTTGAATCCGCCGTTGGGCCGTGTGGGTCGGGTATTACCCCTTTGCGCCGATTGTTCGCGTGTACAACAAGTTGGACGAGAGTTAATATGGATGTCTTTAGCCTCCCGGGTCGTTCAACTGCCCCTTCCATCTATTGTGTCGCTATGACACTGAAAAACGTCCAGCGCATCTCTCACGCGCGCGGCCTGGTCAAAAGGGATCATGTGGTGGTGCACCGAGCACCAGATGGCATGTCTGCAGTGTGGGGAGGGCCAAACGCGCCTTCTCGTGAAGACGACAACGGCAACAACAATGATAAAGTCTGACTTCTACTCTACCTGCGACGCAAGGCTTGCTGCAATAGCGCCCCCTTGCCGCTTCCGCTCCAGAAGGAGGGGCCGCTGGCCTTCCCAGAGTCCATGTCCCAAGCTTCCAGCTATTGAGCACCCACATGCGGTGGGTATGATTGAAAAAAAGATCGGTGGTGCCGATATCGATGATTTTGACATGTATGTGTTGCATTGATGGGTAGACAGGCAAGGGGGACCAGACCGCAGAGAGGGCGGGCGAGGTTGGGGGTCACAGCAGGGCGCGACAAGATTTCGCATGGCTAGCGTCTGTTGTTGGTCAGACACGGTCAGCGAATTTGAAGATTACAACAAAATTCTACAACATGCAGGCGCGCAATTTCGTTGCTTGGACTGACACCTTCTCATTCGTCTGGAGGTGAGCGCTGTCGATACGCCTAAAGAATCACACACACAAATGGGCACGTACACCTGAGACTCGTCACGCCAAGAGCCCGTTACAATGGTCCGACCGAACACTCCCACAGCATCTCCGCAGATGTGGGGGCCGAAGGCGGTCGTCACAGTGGTGGCCGTTTCAACGTCCCACACTTGTACGCAGTTGTCCTGGGTGAAAAAGGGACAGAAAGAGAGTTTTTTCCGTCTCCCACAACAAACTTTGTTGTTGTGTGTTTGGAGCGGTAAAACGGGCACGAAGAAACGTGATAATCAGTGCGAAACCGCATGAAAACCATCGGAATGCTGACGGGCAGAAATTGAGCTGTGGGCACCTCTACGAAAGCCAAGCAGGGTAAGAAATTTAGTGAGTTTATGTCCCGCTTCGGAGTGCCCGTAAGGGGAGAAGCCACTAATCCAACAGAAGGGGGGGACGGGGGGCGAAGAGCCATCACTCTCGTGGGCTTCAACACACGGACACTCACCCAACCGCCGCTGACGAGAGTGTTCGAATCGTCTTGGTGAAACTTGACGCTAAACACCCTGCTGCTGTGCCCGGAGCCTCGCGCCATCCCAGGCTTGAGCTCAACCAACATTTCCTGCGGTTCAGTGCGAGGTGCTGTAGCTTGAATCGGTTAGCAAATGCTTTGGTGTGCACCTTTTCTCGTTTTTGTGCATAGGTAAAGTGCATTCTGCCATTGCGGCCTGTTAGTGTGCACTGCCGCCCTCAGCGGTCTGTGGCGTTGAGACTGGGTGCTATGTCATCCCAGGAACAGCAGATGAAAAAGGGCCATGTATTACATATATCCGTCACGCAAGCCCCTCAGGTAAGCTGGTCACCAACACGCAAGCCCCTCAGGCAAGTGCCGGGAGCACACGGCCGTGTGCTCACCCGGAGGCCTCGCACTTGGACCTCAACCGCATACATAACCATCACACCCATAGTTCCCATACGCGTATCCCCCACAGAGTACGCACAGATCGGACTCATATCCAAGTACCACAAACAGCCCCCCTACTTGATACGATGAACGATCTTGGAACCCTTCACGCATTGTCAGCCAACACAAAAAAACACCTCTTGAGAAACTTATTCAACAGAACTGGCGACGCATTCAACACAAAGCGTCTTCATCATCAGTATATTCACGAATCCCATGCGTTCGCCTCTGGAAATCATCTCAACCGTTGACACAGACGAATCATCTTCAGAAGAGTACCCAACAAAATGTTTTGTGCTACATCAGAAAAGCGTCAGAACGAAAACGGACATTCCTGGAAAAAAACACTTAAAAAGAGCTGGCACCAAATCCATCCTCAAACAAGACAAAAACTCAACTTCTTGACCAATCAAAACGAGAATTCGGAAAGCACAACGTCCCCAACCATTAATCGTCAAAACATGTCAAATCCTTCCTCCAATACAGTGTCCAAGGACCAATCCTAAACAGCGCACCCGCTGATCGGTACCGTCGCTGCTGTCCAACAAACGATAGAAAACGTAAGCAAGCATCCACGCAAACAGCCCCCCTGCTGTCAGCTCCCAGAATTCGCCCCGAGCTAATATCTCGATGCCAAAAGCCCCCTTGCTTTGCCGTTCACCTAACACACAAGTAAGCGTGACCAGAAAACAAACCAATTCGATTGCTGCTCGTGCCCTCTAGAATCATGGTCATACATGACTAATCGGCTTCGTAAGTCGCGAGGGAAGGGATTGCTGTACCCTTCTCGCGATAAAAATACCTCAGGCAGGAACCGCAGGAGGGGGTCCAGCCCCCCCCTCCTATGTGACCCCGGTTGGGTCGTCCAGCTAGTAGAAGTGGAGGATAGGGGCCAGAGGGGCAGACGACAGAGTCCAATGATGAGAAAAACAAAAAAAAATGGCATCCCCCCCCATGAATTTCGAGAGCAGCAAAAACATGCGATATAAACCAGAAACATGAAAACACGTAACACACAAGGCATCAAACTCCAGAAAAAGTCCGTACCGTATGCAAACTGTCTCCTCAACTGGAACTCCAAAAGCGCCCCTGCTCCCTGAGCGTAACCTTCATGTGTGTCAAACAACGCGCTATCATCCCATTTCGTGCGCGCGGCCAGAAACACACCGCAGAGAGTGTCCACTTAACTCAGGACGTAACATAAAAATCAAAGTATCGAAACATCCCAAGTGCAAAGTGTCCAGCTTGTAGAAAATAAAACGCGACTGAACGTACTCCCTCCAAAGAATACGAAAATAATACGAAGCATTCAGCTGCAAGGTAAAACGCGACTGAAAATATGACAAGAACCAAGGGAAAAAAAAATACGTGCTGCTTCCTATTCCACAGGTTGTGGCAATGCTTATCTTGTCGCAGCGTTATTAATATCATGAAACCAAGTACAAAAAACAACTACGCACACGCCGTGGCATACACGTGTTTTCTGAATCAAAGTGCACGGTTCGCTAGCAAGGAGAAAACAGAACAAAATAACAAATATGCGAAGCCAAATGGCGAAGCTAAAACGTCCATGCCTGCTCACAATACCGAACAATGCCGTAAACGTTTCACATGTTCTGCCACTTGGCTGTAACAAGTTGAGGTCGTCGCTTTCACCGTGTCCTCCCCGTTCCCGGTCGACTCGAGGGCGCCACCTCTGCTGCCGCCGCTTCCATCGCCGCCGTTGCCGTTCCCCCGCCGCCACGACCGACATGAGTTCCAGCGCCAACACGGCTGCCGGTGATGTCGCTGCTGCAGCCTCAACCACGGCCGCCGTTGTCGCCGCTGCCGCCGACGGGGCTCTGGCCAAAGCCGCCGCTGCCGTCTTATGCTGCCGTCGGAGTTCTGGCCGAAGCCACCACTCCCGTCGCTGCTCCTGCCGCCGCCGGTGTCGCCGCCGGAGCTCTGGCCGAAGCCGCCACTACCGTCGCTGCTGCGGCTGCCGCCGTTGCCGCCGTTGCCGCCTTTGCCGCCACCGGAGCTGCCACTCCCGTCCCTTCCCCTATCGAAGGGGTACGCCACCCCTGGTACCGCCCCTCGTCTCCTCGCGCCACGCGAAGATGTCGTACCGGGGTCGAAGGGGTGCGTCGGGGCTCCACTCCAGGTTTCATCCAACCCCTCGTCCCCGCTCCCATCACCACCGCTTTCCTCGCTGCTGCTGCTGCTGCTGCTGCTGCTGCTGCTGCTGCTGCTGCTGCTGCTGCTGCTGCTGCTCACTTCTTCCTCAATCTTCCCGGGGTCGAAAGGGTGCGTCGGGGCTTCACTCCAGATTTCATCCAACTCCTCGTCCCCGCTCCCATCGCCGCCGCTGTCCTCGCCGCTGCTGCTACAGCTGCTGCTGCTACTGCTGCTGCTCACGTCCCCCTCGGTCTTCCCGGGGTCGAAAGGGTGCGTCGGAGCTCCACTCCAGATTTCATCCAACCCCTCGTTCCCGCCCGCATCGCCGCCGCTGTCCTCGCTGCTGCTGCTACAGCTGCTGCTGCTACTGCTGCTGCTGTTGCTCACGTCCCTCCCAGCAGATTGGCTGTCAAGCTCCTCCAGGACTGGCAACGACGTGGTTGTCGCACCAACCGCTTCCTCCAACTCTTAGTCATATACCTCCGTCACCGGTGCCGCCGCCGCCGCCTTTGCAGCCGTCTGGACACCCGACGCCAACGCGGCGACCGGGGACGTCGCTGCTGCTGTCGCCGCCGCCGTTCCCCCCGTCACCAATGTCGCTACCGCCGCCGCTGCGGCCGTCTGGATACCCAACGCCAACGCGGCGACCAGGGACGCCGCAGCTGCTGCTGCCGATGCCGTTCCCCCCGTCACCGCGCCGCCGCCATCGCCGCTGCGTCTGTCTAAGCACCCGGCGCCAACGCGGCGACCGGGTACGACGCTGCTGCTGGTGCCGCTTCCGACGAATGCTTGGGTTGTTGTGATTCCCCGGACAGCGAAACTCTAACAACGTGATACGACGCAAGCATGTGTTCCTCCGCTACACGTGTTCTGCTTTATCCGCCCTCCATGAGATTCAGCTCATCGCGTTGCCGCACTACGGCAGGTGCTACACGTGATGTCGCGGGCCGCTGGGGAGAGCGAGTGGCGGAGTGTGTGTTTACGTTGAGAGAAGCTAAATTGGCGGGGTCTTTTACCAGCAAATACGCCGATGACGAACCGGCAGCAGCCCCCCCCCCTTTCTCACCAACGAACACCCCACCACGCACCTGTCCACCTGCACCCCCGGTGAAGCCGGCCGCTAGTTGTTGTTGCCGCGGCTGTTGCTGAGAGTATCCGCCATACACCACGCCTGGTTGCTGCTGCTGCTACTGCTGCTGCTGCTGCCAACACACAGAATTGCCGCCAAACTCGCCGTTCCTCCGCTGCTGCTGAAACGTATCAGGTCGGTGATACTTCCAGTAGATCGTTTCGTGGTTCGGTGCCAGGCATTTGATGCTTACGTGTCCAGAACGCCCGCACCGATCGCACTGAGGAGGCCAGTGAAATCTCCTCGGCACACTGCCGACATAAAACTCACCAGCCGCATCGACATTCCTCCAATCGTGAGTGCAACCCATACCTTGCTGCTGCTGCTGTTGCATCGGCCCCGCTGCCGCAACTCGTCGGCGCGCTCGCCGTTGCCGCCGATGCTCTTCGTTCTTCCATCCCTCGAAAAATCACTCTTGTTTGGGACCGCCTGCCGCCATCCACATAAAAACGCTCCGAGCCTTCAGCTCCATAAAATGCTCTCATACCCGCGTCATCGCCGAACCAACACCTGGCCTAGCTAGGCTCCACTCGATATATCGTGTTAGTGTGCACTGCCGCCCTCAGCGGTCTGTGGCGTTGAGACTGGGTGCTATGTCATCCCAGGAACAGCAGATGAAAAAGGACCATGTATTATATATATATCCGTCACACAAGCCCCTCAGGCAAGCTGGTCACCAACACGCAAGCCCCTCAGGCAAGTGCCGGGAGCACACCGCCGTGCGCTCACCCGGAGGCCCCGCACTTGGACCTCCACCGTATACATAACCATCACACCCATAGTTCCCATACGCGCATCCCCCACAGAGGATGCACAGATCGGACTCATATCCAAGTACCACAAACACGACTGCAGCAGTATTTTTCACGTGAGCGAGCTCTGTCGCCCCGAGATAAGTAGAGCGGTTAGGTGAAGCAAAACGTTAGTAGATGTATATATCTAAAACAGAACACGTGCGGTGTCTTCGAAAACGTAGTGGACATCAGAACCAGCAAGCCCTAGAATCGGCAATGCAGGAGCTACGTTTTCCTAGGTCGTGTGTGGGGTGTTCCCGAAAATACAAAGTCAGCGATACTCGTCCGGGTACCAGTCGTGCCTGGCCCTTCTGTGCGCTTGGCGTGGCTTCGGACGCCGTACTCCAACACTGTTGCCCTCGCAACCGTGCCCGCGACCCGTCCTTGGCGTACCCATACCCTAAAGAAACAGTCATGTTGCAGGTTGGTTGTTCTGTTGAAACACGGCAGCTCATCCAGATTTCGAACCCTCCACCGGATTCATCGGGTTGCCATCTAGACGGTGACGCACCCTCGTGGTGTCGCTGTAGACCCTCACGACCGCGTCGCCTGCTCCCACCGCAAAGAATTCTCCGTCGCTGGAGAAGGCGCAGCACAGCACCTTCACCCTGATGGATATCTCGATATCGTCATCTCGTTCGCTAGCTTCGCCTTTTTCTGCTGCTTCATCCCCTCCCTTTGGGCCGAGGCCATAGCTTGGGCATGCAACGCCCTGAACTGCACCTGCACCACATCCAACTCAGAGAAGAAATCGCCTCACGCGATGTGGCACATGCACCCTCCCCCGCCGGGGGCGACGTACCCGTTCCTCAAACCTGCAGTATGCAAGGTCAAGCGCACGCACAAGTCCGAGCCGAAAGCCCCAAAGTGTTTTTACCTCGGCCCGGGAATCAATACCAACCGTGATAGCGTGCGTATCTTGAACGAAAAACGCCAAGCGATCACAACTCGCAACTTCACCTGGCAATCCGTACCCGCTGCCCCCACCGCCCTGCCCCAGTCGCTGCCTCCAATCGCAGAGAAGGAAGAGGAAGTCGCGACTGGGGAGGACGAGGTTGGGAGGGCGCGTCGAGCCAAGGTGGAGGGAGGACGGAGGGAGAACTTGTGGATGGAGAACCAGGTTTCAACCTTGGCACGACGGCAGCCCCGGGGCCCGCGGGGCAGCCCGCGTACGTAGCGCCGGCGGCGCCGCCGGCAGTGCCGCCGGTCGCGCCCCAGGAGTCGGGCGCGGGCGACGCTGGCGATGGCGCCCCCTCGAGCAGGGAGGGCGCGAGCGTCGCCCCATCTACCACGTCGGCCGGCAAGGCCGATGTGGGCGGCGGCGAGGACGATCGCCGCAGCAGCAGCAGCCGTGGTAGCGGCGGCAGCGGCAGCGGCAGCAACAGCGGCAGCGGCAGCAACAGCGGCAGCGCCAGCGGCAGCGACAACGACAGCGAGACGGATCTCCCGGCGCTCCGTGGGCCAGAAGCCCGGCGGCTCGCCCGCTTCGAAAAGCCGACGGAAGTCACCAGCCGTCGCACCAAGGAGAACCCTCGCCAAATCCCGAGGTACGAGTCGCCCCCGTCGCCGACGAGTGCCGAAGCCCTGCTCGCCTCGGTGGCGAGCCTGCCCGTCAGCAGCACCGAGGAATTCACCAGCTGGATGCTCTCGGCGGCACTTCACGTGGCGGAAGGGCTAGAGGTAAGGGCGGTGCGAGAGTTGCTGTTCGAGTGCGCGGAGGAGGCCCATGCTGCGCGCCAAGAGGCGGAGGACTTCCTGCTGGGTGCGGTGGACCTCATGCTCAACTCGCCAGACGCCTTCGAGACGGCTCTGGCGTCCCACGAGCTAAGTGAATCCCCCATTGGCAAGCGTCCGAGTGATGTAGAA